GCCCACAGTGTGCCCAGGTGGCCAAGACGGCCGACGGCATCCTGGCCTGCATTAGAAATAGTGTGGCCAGCAGGAGCAGGGAGGTGATCATCCCCTGTACTCAGCACTGGTGAGGCTGCACCTCAAATGCTGTGTTCAGTCTTGGGCCCCTCACTACAGGAAAGACATTGAGGCCCTGGAGCGTGTGCAGAGAAGGGCAAGGAAACTGGTGAGGGGTCTGGAGCACAAGTCTTAAGAGGAGCAGCTGAGGGAGCTGGGATTGTTTGGTCTGGAGAAGAGAAGGCTCAGGGGAGACCTCACTGCACTCTACAGCTTCCTGAAGGAGGCTGTGATGAGGAGGGGTTTGGCCTCTTCTCCCAGGCAACAAACAGGACTCGAGGAAATGGCCACAAGTTGTACCAGAGGAGGTTTAGGTTGGACATAAGGAAGAACTTTTTCTCTCAGAGAGTGGTCAGGCATGGAATGGCTGCACAGGAGGTAGTGGAGCCACCATCCCTGGCAGTGTTCAAGAGGCATCTACAAGATACGACTTAGTAGTTTGTGGTAGCAATGGTAGTGGGAGAATGGTTGAACTAGATCTTGTAGGTTCTTTCCAACCTTGTGATTCTATGATTCTCAATGCAAAAGATGCGAACAGGAAAATACCACGAATATCATGGAAGTGGAAATTTAAAAAACAAAAAACAAAAAAGCACCATACAGCAGAGACAACTATAAAGTCTCACACAAGAGGAACAGTCAAATGAAATGAAATTCTAGATCTACACAAAAACCTACAGGTAGTCAAACAATCAATACTACTGTTCAAAGGCAACCACCATAACAGCAGCTCCTACAGACAGAGTGAAGCTAATTACGCAACATTTATAGTATTCTTATCATAAAACATACTCAATATCCCAAATAATATCTGAATATTTACCATACTAAATATTCATCCTCCCCAGACAGCAAAGATCAAACTGAACAACGCACTGCTATGAATACCTTTATTTCTTTTCTACCTTAATGTAGATAGCTTTGCTCAACCTTTGTACTTTCTACACACCAGAATTGTAGGACAAGCCAAACATCTTCAGCACCCAAATTAAGGGCTCTCCTAAATCTACAAACATAGCAACAAAACACTCCGTATCTGAAATGTTTTATGGACCTGATCATACTAGAGTAAGTTCTGCAAGCCAGCAGACAGTGATAACAGACAGAAAACTATTAGTCTACACCCATCTCTTGTGCCTGAATAAGCCTTGTTGTGATTTTCAAAGTACTAAAAAAAAAAGAGAGAGAAATACAGCCTGAAACCTTGTGTAAAAGAATGATAACTAGACAACTAATTACTGTGAACTGATTTTGTAAGTCCTCAGAGCTGCTAGACAAAAAAAATTGTGCTAAAGAGCCAAACACTGAAAAAAGCAAAGCGGAATGTTGGGAAGAAAACAAACCCAGTTTCAGAAATGCAAACAACACAGACCTACCACCACTACCTGAAATCATGACTGCTGCTGTATACTGAAACCTACTTTTCTAAATTTGGTTGTTGGCTTCATTTTTTTTTTTCCCTTAACTTTTATAAAAGCTACAGCAAAGAAAAAAAAAAAACAAGTGTAGACCAAAACACTTGTTTTGTATCAGCATACACGAACATCATCTGCAGAGTTTTGTATCAACATACACGAACACCAACTGCAAAGGAAGCCTTTTATGCATCCAAGCTGGCCAGGCTCTCTGGGACAGATCACAACCAGGATTGCAAGTGCAGCTGACTCAGGACCAGTAGGAGAACTGATTTCCACTTTGGGCTACAAGAAGCCCAGGGACACAACAGCAATCTTTGTCACACCAGGAGCATCATGCACTCTGCATTCTTAAGACAGGACACAGCATCAGCAGCCAGTGATCGTGTGGTTCTGCAGATAACTGGAAACCATTACTGCAGTCTCATTTGACATAGTCACCTGCAAAACTGAGGTGTAAGAGACTGGAAACAGGACAGTACTTGATTACAATACTTTAATTTTTTTTTTTATTATTTAAATTATGGGTTAGACTATCTGAATATCTGCTCAATAATTAGCAAAAAAGTACTACCCTGATTAGGCCTCTGGACAGCACAGCAATGTAAGTATTACCAATGAACAAATGAAACTATATATAACCCCTCATAGATTGACAAGAACTGGCATCCAAAGAAACCAAGGACTGTTGATATTAGGGTTCACATTAGGATACAGAATGTATTAACATGAAATCATATAATGTCCTCTAAGTTTTTCCTGCAGAAAGCATGTATATTTAATTAAGTCCCTACAATTACACAAGAATCTGCTTTTACATCTTTTGTAAGTACACCAACCTTATAGAGTAAAGGTCAGATTTTTCAGTTTAAATGTAAGGCTACTTAAAATGTTCATGCTGAGATTAATTCCGAACTTGGACTAACATTTAAAGAGACTTCATTAAAACTTTGCCTGGGAAAAGATAAGTGATGCTAAAATACCTAGAACACTCAGCAAGAAATTAAACTGTTTACTCAAAATGAGCAGCAGACTGTTCTGCTACACAGGAACTACTTCAAAGCCCGGGCACGTTCATGGAGGATTTTGTCTTTTATTGAGTTTCTAGATCAGATAACAACTGAAACTTTTACTGCTACTTATGAAATTCCCTCAAGATCAGCGAGCTTACAGTGTTTCACACTTCAATCAGATGCTGACAATAAAGAACTGTTGCTCACTGTGCATATAGTTAGCAATGAAACTACCTGAAGTATATATGTACCCATACACTCAGTCAAAAAAAAAGTTGTTTTTTTAATTAGTCTTCCAATTCCACAAGAATTGTGGAATTCATCTCACACTTAAAAATGCCAGAGAAGCAGCCTCAGCAACAGGCCTAAGGCCCTAGAATCTCGTAATGAGTTTCCACCAGATATAAGCCTAGGCCTACACCAAGGCCACTGCTAGACAAAACTCCAGCTCTGCACACTGTTTGGGGGTTTAAAATTAATATTTTCACAGTTTAGAGAGACTAATACCCTTATATTAAAAATATGCCCAGTTGTTTGTAGAACCACAAAGTTCCATCCTTCTTTAAGTTGGTAACTTTTCTTTTTATACAGAATACATTGAGATGATAGTCAGTTCAACTTTTAAGTGACTGGTCATGTAACAGACACCAAATAATTATTTGGTAAACGCTGGGATAAACAAAGATAAGGGCAGTACATGTTCTCAGTAAAAATGTTTAGTTTACCAATAAATTTCTAAAACAAACAAGATGTTTCCTGGACCTCCTTCAAAACACTGTTTCAGTGAAAAGGCAATCCCAAATGCTCAGCAGGAAGAAAAAGAAACTGCTTGCAGTCTCTGGCTCACACATTTTGGGCATGATCTCATTCTTTACTACCACTTTTCATTTCTGCTGCAGCATTTTATAAACCAAGGCTTGACGTTATTCTTGCACATTATGATTAAATACTACATACCAAATGCATATGAATGCAGCTTAAAGTTATAAAAGAAATGAAAAAGCATCAAAGTGTATCCCTTATAACTCCTCACACAGTAAGAACTTATTTGGCGTGCACAAGGCACCATCATATATATTAGCCTCCAAACATAAAAATAGGTATGTCAAGATTTATTTAACCAGAATTTCTGCAAGTTTGCTATACAACAGTGACATACAACTATCTCCTCAAATTTAACTAGAAAAGCCAAATTTCCTTTTCAAAAATTGCAGGTTTGGATCATAACTTACAGGGAGCTGTTAAGTTATCCATACTCTACTTATCGAAGCCCCACTATTAAAGCAATCTAATATCCCACTTTACTTACAAGGAAGCACCTACATGCTTATATCCCAAATGCCTTGAAATGGTTCTAACAATAAGCTCACACTGGAAATTCAGCAATTTCTTGAAATATCAAATATCCGGCTTAACGTTGCCTTTTTTCTCTTTCCTATTTGATCATATCAATCAAGCTTAAACAATGATTATGTATCAGTCCATTGAAACTAAACAGTTACCACTTACAATACAACTGTCATCAGTGCACCACTGGTAACACAGTTCTGTTTAGTGCCAGGTACTTAAATAAGCACTCAGCCTTCTGTACCAACCTGTTTCCAACCTCTGCAGTTAAGAAAGCTAAGGTACACAGGCTAAATTAAGCAAACATCCCAACAATTGCTCAAAACAAGATATGAAAATTATACGCTTGGCAAATAACTTTAAAAACTCTCTGACATTAACCTTTTAACCCGATCTATTCATACCATCAAGCTTTCCTGAAAGATAGTTTTACACACCCGTTTTTGCTTTTTTAATTAATTTTTTGCTGACCACCACGGAATAGCGTATTTTAAGAAAGTGGCCAACATTCACCCACCGTAGCAGTAACTGTTTTATCAATGAAGAACAAATACCACAGGTAACGAGGCCTCGTCAGTTAGAATAAAAAGGAAAAAAGAGGAAAAATAAAAGAAAGCTCTACCCAAGCACCGTTCTAGGAAGCGTTCAGCATTTCGGTTTATCGGAGGCCGAACCGCTCCTAAACTGATTGTGGCATACGAGGAGGAAAACGTTTAGCCGAAAGATTCCAGCTCCCCCAGGCTCGGCCTCCAGCGGCTCGGCAGCTCGAGGCACGGCGCGGAGCAGCTAGGCCCCGCCGCGCCGGGCAGGATGCGCGGCCGGCAGCGGCAGTTCGTCACGTCCCGCCCGGCCCCGCGCGCCCGGCGGCTCCTCGGAAGGCCCCGAGGGGCCGAGCCTCCCCAGGCCGCGGGCGGAGAGGAGGGAAAGGAGCCGCGGAGCGGGGCGGGCTCCGCCGTTATGGCCGCCCCGGCACCCGGGAGGCCCGAGCCGGGCGGAGGCGGAAGGCGGCGCGGGGTTACGGCCCGGTCCGCGGGGAGCGGGAGCGCGGCGCGGGGCGAGGACTGCCGGAGAAGGGCAGCGGAGAGGGCAGCCGCACTTACTCTCGTTTAACACCTCCAGCAGCTCGGCGCAGCTCTCACACATTGTTCATTAACAGCAGCAGCCGCCGCCACCGCCTCCTCCCAACCATTGATTGATCCGCGCGGGGCCGCCGATCGGTGATTGATGGGGGCCGGGGCGGGGGTCAGCGGATGGGGGGGGGGGGGGGGGGATGGGGGGAGGGGAGAGAAGGAGGGGCGGGAGGGCGGGGGCCGGTCCGGGGCGGGGGGGATGGGGCGGCCGAGCGATGCCAATAAGCCCGCGGCGGCGGCGGTGGCGGGAGGGGAAGCCGAGTCACTCACTGGCTGCCGGCGGCTCCGCGCGCCGCCATTTTGGCGAGGGGGAAGGAGGAGGAGGAGGGAACGGCAGCGAGGGAGACGGAGCGCTCGGGCTCCGCTCGGCGGTTTCCGACGAGACGAGAGACGAAGGCGGCCGAGTCCCTCCTCCCTTTCGCCCCGCCTTTCCCAGCCCAGGCCGGGCGGCAGGCCGGCGAGCGGGGAGGGAGAAGGGGGCGGGCCGGCAGCGGGGCCTGGAGGGCAAGATGGCGGCTAAGGCGGCTAAGGCGGCGCGCTGACGGGTGAGGCGCGAAGCGGCAGTCGCGGCCCCAGTCCCGCCCCCTGCCGGGAAGGACCTCCCCGGTGCCGCGCGGGGCGGGAGGGCCACTCCCGCTATAAGCGAGCGCGGCGCGTGGCGCGCCGCTTTGCGCTCTCCGGCGCTCCTCTGAGAGTTAGGAACGAGTTCGGCGTGCCGCCGGTTCCCTTCTCGCCGTCCCCAGGACGCGTCCCCGCCTGTCGGCAGCCGGCGCCTACTCGTGCAGCGGCGCTGCGGGGACGGCCGGCCGCAGTGAGCGCCCGTCAGGCCACGCGCGAACCCTGCCCGCTTCCGGGGCTCGCGTCTCGCGTTTGATTGGCGCTTTCCTCCTGCGTAAGTCCGGGATCGGTCTTCGTTTACTTGTTTTTCCTAGCGCTATCGGTATTGAAGTTCTTGAAATTCAAAGCCGAAAAGCGTGGTAGGCGTCTTCGGCGTGGTTGTCGTACTTAACTAACGCGAACACCGTTACTGCAATAAATTGGTTTGCTTCCTTCCTCGACCTTTACCATCATTTTGCACAGGTATTCCTTCTAGTGAGGAGCGATCGGTGGCCGAACAACCTGAGTGTGTCAGCTGCGTTTGCAAAAAGAGAGCGTTGTTAACAGAAAATACAGTTCCATTCTGTGTATAATCAGAGTTGAGCTTGTGTTTGTTTCTCTTTGCCCTCTTCCTTACTTAGACCCGGCAATCCCTTTGATCGTAAATCCAAAATTAACTGCCAGGGCATCAGAAGTTTACTTTTCTGACAAATCGGCTCTTACAAGAGGGGGTCTTTTGAATCACAACATCATGTGCTAAGGTCAATATATACGAGAGGAATATGAGTGACCTTGTTCCTAACTGTGCAGACTAGAATATTTTGAAGTGCATTTTATGACATGCAATCTTATTTTTGTTAAAGAAAAATGACATTACAGTTTTAAAATGGAATGCAAGCTTCCAAACAGAAGGCAGCAGGACCTACAGCAGTGGCCTACAGTTTTCATGATAGTGATCATCAGCTAGTCTTTCTTCTATCCACTGCTTGTCTTCTCTTGTCTTCTCTCCTCATGTGGCATCACTGCAATGTGGTTTGATCCCCAGGAGGCCCTTTTCCTTCCCCTGACTGTGATACTGCTTTTAATCAGGAGATGCTTCCTTTGGTAAGCTGACAGTACAGTTGTGAAGTAGTAATTGAAGAGAAACGTGAGACTTGAGCAAAAGTAAAACGCTGTATCCAAATGTTGTACAAGGTGAATAGTCTGAGATCCATACGTACGCTTACAGTGTCAGCGTCCCAAGACCAAACGAGTAACTCAGTCCTAGCAATTTTTTTTATTTTTTAATTTATTTTTTAGGTTTTAAAGTAAATGAACCATTCACCAGAAGAAAAAAAACCCTGGTGTGGATTAGGGGTCAGGTCATTTTTCTAAACCTTTATTTAAATAGCCTGAGGATTGTACCCAGCCTAATTCTGGGATCATCTCTCTTACAGTATTTTTCAATTTTCATTTTGATTATTTCAGACTATAAAGCACTTTTTACATAATTTATATCCCTTTGATTCAAAAGCAAGCAGAACTTTTGGACTCTTCATGGGTAGAGCATGTATTTATGACTGTTTTTGTAGAAGTTTGCTGTAATGATTGCAGTTCGATGCAGTTAATCCAAAATGCAAAATGCTCACAGGCTCTCTCTGGGGAGAGAAGTTAATAGAATAAGACTGATGCAAAACAAACAACAACAACAAAAAACAGAAAAACCCAAATACCTCCACTAGATCTCATGCTAGATTCCAAACAAGAAAATTGATCATTACTATCTTGTTATCAACAGTCATGTCAAAATAACAGCTGTGGTAAGCAGGCTGCAGACAGTTCTTTCCATCACACACAGATGTAGTCACACTGAGATAAAACAATTTTAACTCCTCTCCCTCATCTCCAGTTGTTCCCAATAATCTTTACATGAAGGAACCCCCAAAGGCTGCAGATTTGCCGAGAAGAAAAACTGAGACAGTTCATGATAGAAATATAAGCCCTTTTACAAACTTTGATTGGGTATCTGGAAAAGTGCTTTTTAGCCCACTATAAGTGTAAATATGAGTGCTTTGCTTAGATCTTTTTAAGTTATGGCATATTCTGATCCATTCTGATATAACTCATCTATATTCTGATCTTTGAAAACATCCCTTCTTAGTCCTATCTTTGTTTTTTAAACTGTTTTCTTGTTCCCACTGAACAGCATGAACGAACACAGGTAGACATGCGTATGAAAATGAAAAGCACACAGGGCAAGTACATACCTGCAGTAGCATTTGTTTCATTTCATAGTTCTAATTTAGACAAGGTAAGTGTCTTGAGGAGACTGCTGGCAGACTGAGTAACTACACTCAGCTTCAAAAACAAACAAAAAGATAAAAACCAAAACCATAGTTCTGCAAAGCTGTTGTAGTTGATAAGTGCAGCCAGTCTCTTTCAGTATGCTAACATGCTCCATCAGGCAGTTCAAATGTATAAATACTCCAAGTAGGGAAGCCGGAGTCCCAACACCAAGCTGAGTTCCCAACTGTTCACCACTGTTCTAACAGGAATAGTAGTAGAAAAGGTCTTCTCCCATTCAGCCCTTGGTGTCAAAATTTAAGTTGAAGCAGTATCAGTTATTTTCCCTAGGGACATGTCATGTTTGTTTTTGAATTTACCTGTGAATGTGCAAATTATCACAGAAAATGTGCAATAAAGCGTAGTTGTAGAAGCTAGAAAAGTTATCTGGTATTTCCTTACATAGTATTTGTACTACTAGAAACACAAGCACTCACTGTATTTTCAGTTTTTTAGTACTAAGTGGATCTTTTCTCCCCATACTCAAGAAATGATTCTTGATTTCAGTGCATTTAGTAATTAAGGTGCATTTTATGTAAAATTTGGGAAGTGATTGGCTAAGCTTTTTTCCGAGAGAACATTGCTGATCAGTCAACTTCAGCAATGACATCCTTTATGTGAAAGGCTAAATAGAAATACAGTCCCATTAAATCACGTACAGAGGTGTATTCATGAAGGGCAGGAAGGAGGTATGTTCTTATACTCAATTTTGTAACCAAAATGGTTTTTAAAAACAATCTCTCAACACTGGGGTTTTGCCCTGTTACGTTTGGAAACACACCTAACATGGAAAGAAGAGAACAAAAATTACCTAGGCACCAATATGAGCAAGAAAATAGTGCCCTGCAAGTTTTGGGTGAGTAATAATTTATCTGGACGCACAATCTCAGAGGCACAGTTCAACACTAAAGCAACTTCCTTGCTTCAGTCAACCTCTCTACATTTTAGTGCTGTGATAGTTGCAGTATCTTTTCCTAATGCTGCTCCCCTTCATCCAAAGAAATCCACAGCCAAAGTTTTATTCCTTTCCAGTGCTGAAGTCTACTGGAAATAACTTCAAGCTCCCTTGAGAGATGAACATTATTCTAAAGCTTTTTGCATAAATATTAACTTTATTGGAAAATAGTTCACTTAACCAATCAGATTAACACACAGCAAATTATTCAAGTTAGAAAAAGAAAACTAACCTAAAATGCTTTGGAAAATAATTGCTCCAGTTACAGTAGCAAACACATGGTAGCCTGAAACAAGCACTTGGGGGTGTCTTCATCAGCTAACAGGCAATCAAATCATGTAAACACAGAAAACACCCTGTAATATTTCTGTTAACGAATGTACCTAGAGTATATAGAATTTTTTCTTTTAAAATCTGTATAGAAATATGCACAAAGTAAACATTGGTTTACATATAATTACAAGTTGTAGTTGTTTTTATGATGGGTTCATGCTTTTTATCCATTTATTTTCATTTCCAGAGTGTGCATTCAACACAGTATCTACAACCTTCTCAGGTGTACATTGTAATAATTTTTCGACAGAGGATAACTGCACTAGGAATACACACACCCTTCCCCCCAAATTTTATCAAGAACTCTGCATAAGCTGCATTTTCATAGCATCTGCAGAGATCAGCAAAAGGCACCAATTTTGAAGATAACACAGCTTTTAGTCAGATTTAAAAGGGAAGTGAAAACTAACATCACCATTTTGTTACTAGATAATCTAAAAGGTTTCAAAATAATGAAAAACTCTTATCCAAATTGCATTTTTAAACACACTTCAGGTGTTCTTTGAAAGTCAGATGTAATTCTTAAGTATGCATCAGACCACAAGCCTTGCACATTTACTTCAACCTTGAAAATGAAAGGTGCACATAAAAGCACACGTGCGTTTTTCATTGAAACAATTTTCACTGCATGTCTGAACTAGTCTAGTTCTGTGATTCGTGGAATATGGTCATTCTCATGTCGCACTATTGGGGGTATTTCCATTTTAATAGTTTTCTTCCTGGTCTCCACAGCTTTTGATAATCTGCAGCTCTATAATGCTGCGACTAAGCCTGGTCACAAGCCATTTTAGTATCCTTCAACAGTACTTCAAACACTTTAAACTGCTTCTTATGTTACATATTGCTTTACAAGAACAAAAAATCTATAACTCAACTGGAC